TGTGTTTCTCCCCCATCGCGGAAAATTATTTCCTCCCTGCCGAACCCTCTTCCTGGAGATAAGCCCTCGATCAGGGGTGGGTTTCAGCGAGTGATGTACAGAGGGAGGGCAAATAAAATGCTGCCTCTGTGACACCCCTCTTTGTGCCCCATGGTGGCATGGGGGGGGCCGAGGAGGTGCCCACCATCCACCCTGTCTTCTCCCTCCCTCACTCCCTGCTCCCTCCTGCTGCAGGTGCGGGGGCAGCCACCCACCCCTGGCACAGGCAAAGCCCAGCTGAGAGATGCTTGCACCCCTCTGCGGGGCATGGTTTCTCCTTCTCCTCCTGCAGCCATCTCTCTCTCTGGCAGGGATCCCTAACACTGCCCGTGTCCCTCTCCCCGCTGCTTTGTGGGTGCTGCCAGCCTTCAGAGGTGCAGGTGGTGCATGACTGCGGGTTGGGGCTGCAGGAACACAAGAAGAATGTGATGGGGGCAGTGCACAAATCACACAGATTTTTCCTCACATAGAGTATTTATAGGGTTGTTTTTCTCATTTTTAATGAGGCTCCTGGCCTGAAGGGTGGTCTTCGTCTCAGCCCAGCCTTTGACCTGAGCAGCGGCACAGGAGCCCAAGGACCCCAACAGTTGGGCACCACATGCTCACTCTGGGCAAGTGCTGCTGCGTGAGCCCAGCAGCATGTCTCAGCTTACAGAGAGCACCAGTCACAGAGCTGGAGCATCCAGAGGCAGGGGCAGCCGAGATGTGAGCTTTCCTCTTGGTCACCTTCTGCCTGGGAATTTGGCAGGAAGGCAGGGTCAGGTCCACAGCTTGGGAAGAAATGCTGGAGTGGGGTTTGATCAGTGCCATCTTGAGATGCATGTGAGCCCGGGGTTGTTCAGCCCAGACAGCGTGGCTGGTCCTGTTCCCCACAGGCTCTTGCTGTTGGCACAGCAGGTTGTCTGTCCACCATTCTGGAAGGTTTTCAGAGCCTAAAAGCATCCCCCCCTTCAAGTGAGCCACCCCCAGGCGCTGGCAGGGAAAATTTCTGCAGCATGTGTGATGCAAAGGGAACGTCTGAGGGATGAGGAGTAACCAGCTGGTCCAGCCCTGACTCTCTGCCTTTTCTCTGCATGTGGCCAGAAATCTCTCTCTCCATTGCCTGGGTCTCTCCCTCTCCTGTGATAAACCTCAAACCCCTCTGTGGAGGATGGGGGCAGGCAGGCAGCTCTGCTCTGTGGTAGCAATGGTGGCAGATGCAGCCTGTATCATCAGAGAGCTCGGGAGAGTGGAGATGGCTCAGATCTGCAGATGGAGCCAAAGTAGAAGGCAAGACCTGGTGGTGGCTGGCACACCTCATCACGTCCTCCTCTTTTGCTGGGGAAAAAACTGAGTGTGGGATGGCAATGAGGGGATCGCGAGGTTTTGTAAGGTGCCTGTGCTGGGGCTGCAGAGCAGGGAGGCATGAGCAATTGTTACTTTCATAAAGGAGCTTCTGGTTTCCTTCCTCGTAAGGACAAGCTCAAGGGCCTTTGCCATGATATGTAGGTCCTTCACACTCCTAGGGCTGGGCACAAACTCAGACAAGGTTATTCAGCTGCTGGGACAGGCCTTCTTTCCTGTCCATTTGAGTTGGGATTCCCTTTTGTTTCCCAGCTGCCCACTCTGCACTTGTTCCTGACTCACCACAAAATGCCATTGCAAAGTAGTCTTGCATCAGGGCTGTTGTCAATTAGCATGCCCGACTGAATCGTCTTGTTACTGTGCAGCTCGGTCCTTCTCTGTCCCTTTGTAACATGCCAATACACCCCTCCTTGATTTTTCTTCCACTGGAATTGTGCTGGGAGGTCTGCATGTTACTCATTGCTGCCTAATTCCACTTGCTGATTCACCCTGAACTGTTGCATATATATATATTTTTTTTTCATTTCCTTTCTGGTTTAATGAATGAGAAAACTATCCTGCTAGCTCCCAATTTAACTTCTGGGAGAGGGGGCAAATGTTTCAACCACAGCTACAGAGAAGGATAAAGGGCTTGCTGGGGAAATTGTAAATATTCAGGCAAAAGGGAAATTTTTAGTAGTGACAGCCTTGAAAAAGAAGTTAATATAAGGATAAGTAAAAGTGAACTGAATGATCTGTGTAGCTCGACCAAATCTCCTTGATGACAAACAGCAAGGAATGGCTTGGCCATTTGTGACAACCACCGCTGCACCAGGGCACAGCTCTGTTCTTCAGCCTTTCTCTGAAGAGTGGGAAGGTGGCTAGGAACATGCAGCTGGCTCCAAAAGGCAGGCAGCTGACGAAGGGGGACCTGTCACAGCACTGCTCACCTCTCCTGCCTGTCTCGTATTCCCCCATCCCCTGCCCTCTGCCTGCCTGCCCATCAGTTCATCTCTCCCCACTCTGGCTACCATTTGGGATGCCACCCAAGCAGCTTCACTACCCTCCTGTGTTCAGCAGCGCGTGTCCCAGCCATGCTGGCTGCGGGTTCTAGCCGTCCTGCCTCTCCTTTCTGAGAAGCCCCACTCATGCAGCACAGGGATGTGTGGCTGCTCTGCAGCCAGACTGGATGCAGTCACCGTCATGCTTCCTTCCTCAACGGGACTGAGACCTGGTCGGTACCTGAAGTGAGCTGTTCTGGCAGCGAGCACTGGGAACACCGGCAGATAGACTGTAGCTGGTACATTTCCTTGAGGGCTTCAGCTATCTTGCTAATATAAGGGAGCTGCTGTCAGGTATTTGACTTTTCTATGAAATGTGGCTTTTAACCCATTATGAGAGGGTGAATGTAACCTCTGGCTTTGGCTTTATTCGTGTCTCTCTGTGTCCTAGTGCGTGGCTGTGGCTCTTTGTGCGAGATAGCTGGTAAGCACTGAAGCCTTGTACGGTGGCTTGTAATTGCAGGGTTGCCGGCCACCAGCCACGCTGCAGAGTTGCTGTAAATCACTCCAGCTTCAGCCTCCCCTCCTGCACCTCCTCCTTGGGAGGGAAGAATGGTGTAGATCTGTGTGTGCACGTGGTGCTTGCAGGAGAGGAGCAGAGGCAGGGGGGATGGTGTTTGAGTCAGAATATCAGCACGGCAGTGTTGGGATTGCAGCCGATCACCGTCGCCGTTTGCCTGTAATGATTCCGCTGTGTTTGGCACTGGGCAAGCTCCTGCCTGCCCAGGGGACTGAGCCACCCTGAGCCCAGAGCAAGTGCCCCCAGGGCACTATCCCCCTCTGGAGCAATCCCATTGACTATCCCCTCCTCCGTTACCTAGACCAAGCAACCATGACTGAGAAGACTCAAGAACCTCATGTGGAGGAAGATGATGATGAGCTGGACGGGAAACTCAACTACAAACCTCCTCCCCAGAAAACACTGCAGGAGCTGCAAGAGTTGGACAAGGACGATGAAAGCCTCGCTAAGTACAAGAAGTCCCTGCTGGGGGATGGACCCGTGGTAGTAGGTAGGCTGGGGCACGCCAATAGGAAGGGACCAGGGAGATGCATCACAACAGTGTCCTGTGGGGATGGGACAAGGTGGCCTCAAAGAAGAGGGAGCTTGTTTGACCAGGCACATGTACTGCTTCTGCTAGAGGGCTGGGAATGAGCAGGTGGAGAGATGCATGCAAAGGAAGTGGGGAAGATGTTCTGAGCATTAGGTGTAAGGTTACTAGGGAGTGGTGGCATCAGAAAGGGACTTGTGGTGGGAGATGTGTGGGCCTTAGAGGACTCCTGAGGAGTTAGAAACATGAGGGGACCAGCCTGTGCTGAAAGGGGGCTTTGCTGCTTAGAATGATCTTAAGAGGGGAGTCTCCTATAGCAGAAAGACCTCCTCTAGGTATTGGGATGGAGGCTGGAGGGATCCATGTTGAAGGACAGGGGGAGATGCATGGTCCTATTGTGCTAAGAGAAGCCTAGCATTAGTGGGTGTTTCATGAAGTGCGGTTTCTGTGTGGGAAAGCAGCCCCGTTTCTTCGGTGTTGTTCCCCTTCCCCTGCATTTAATTTTGCAAGCTGACAGCTTCCCCCTGACTTTCCTACCTGCAGACCCAACAGCTCCCAACGTGGTGGTCACCCGACTCACCCTGGTATGCGACTCTGCTCCAGGACCGATCACTATGGACCTTACAGGTAGGCACAAACCCTGTCCTTGGGCACGAAGGGGAACAAGCAAAGGCCCTGGCATGCTTCAGATTAAAAGGGAATTTGTCCTTGACATGCTACAGGGGGTTTTAGAGGAACTCTGAGGGCATCTTAGCCTTGTTTCTTATTTTAAGGTATACGTGTATGAAAAAGAAAAGGAGATGCAACAGAGGAAAATGTTGAGGGTCTTTTTCTTCATATAGACTGCTCTAGGAGCTCCTGGGTTTCTCCTGCCTTCTCTTCTTAGCAGAAGGGATGTGCATGCGTTCGGGTAATGGGCTGTTTTGAAACTTCACAGTCAAGCAATACTGCAGTTCCGGCTCCTGGGGACATGGGGAGAGAACCAGGCTTCACCTTATATGGGCTTTTCTGCAGAGAGAGGAAGCTGGGCCCAGAGGAGCAGAGAGGCTTCCTGTTCAACTGAAACCACGCAGAGCCCTGCAGAGCCCGGGCAGTCTCGCAAGCTGGGCAGGAGCTGCAAAACATGCTCTGCTCACCCAAGCCAGGGCTGGGCATGGGTGAAGCATGCACATGCTCCTGCAGATGCCTAATGACGAGTCTGTGCATAAATATCTTTGTGTATATGTGCCTAGACCTGTGTTTGTTTAGGCAGTATCTTCATAGATGTGGACACAGACACATATGTACACCCAGGCGTTTCAGCATACTTGCTCTCACAGTGCAATTGCTTATGCAGACCTCCACGTTCTCATTTTGCAGGTGTGCCATCCTTCAAAGGGATGTCTATCTCTGACACTAGTCCCACCACATGTGGTCTCTTCTTGCTGTGACACCTCTAGCTAACAGCTTGATTCTCTCCTTATAGGTGACCTTGAAGCACTCAAGAAAGAGACCTTCGTATTAAAGGAAGGAGTGGAATACCGAGTTAAGATCCACTTCAGAGTGAGTTGTTTTCCTTCCTGCTGCTTCTCATCAGTTGCTGAGGCAGTCTATCAGATAACTAGAGATGGGCAGCATGCCTGCCCAAAAGCTGGGCCATTGTAAAGCTCCCCTAGCTTCAGATGTTGTTCAGTCCGACAGGGACCAGGTCTTTCTAGGGAATTTCTAGGGCTTGCTCGCCCTTTGGAAGAAGTTGCTTTCTATCCACCCACAATGGGGAACAACAGGTGATTTAGAAACCAGATGGGTAGCTTTGGCTGAGTTTGAGTTGGCTTCTTACCCACCAGAAAATCTAATTCAAGCAAAGTGGAAATGGACAGGGAAGAGAAGAGATAATGGCTTTCCATGAAGTACTGGTTCAGTCTGCGTTGCTGGGCTTCATGTATGCATAAACAAGATTTAATACTGTAGCATTTGACTGAAGATACCCAAGTTCTTCTCGGTCACGATATACCCAAATGGGCTTATTTTTTTTTCGCCGTCTCCCATTAACCAGTGTGTCAGCCATTTCTTCTGTTTCCAGCTGAAAATCAAACTTGGCCACACTGCAATGTGGCATACAGCACTGAAATTATCGTCTTCACACATTTGCTGCAGAGAAGGCAAAAAGGGATGGAAAATAGTTCTCCTGAAATGGAGAAGGGAAAGTGTTAGTGTTGTGGGTTCTGTAGGAAAGATTTCCCTTCTTCTCTGAGGCTCCCTTGCTGTCTCAGGGGTGACTTTGTCCCCAGAGATGCCTCCAGCTCTCCTATGTGCTGTGAAATGTTTCCATCTGTATTTGAGCCCTTTTGACAGGAGATGCTGGGAGCCCGACAAGTTTTTCTAACACACTCCCTCAGTCCCAAGGCTGGTAAGAGCTGGCACCACGTGAATTCTCCCCTGGGATTAAAAGGATCTGCCTGTCCTGTTTCCAGATGGAATAGTGCTGCAGGGAGGCAGTGTATGCTGGAGGGAGGCAGCAAGGGATACATCCAAGCTATCCATGGGAGATTTGAGGAAAGATTATGAACAAAACTGTCTCCTGTTGTGTCTTGAGGAAAAGCTTGCCAGCTCCCCATGGAGCTTAGAGGGCAGCTGGGAGTGCTCAACTAATCTTGCCCACTCATTTGTGCTGGAGGGATGACTCTAGTCACCCATGTCTGGTTTTCAGTATGGAAACTATTAACTGGGAACTCCCTGTTTCACTTTTCTTTGTCCTCATCAGCCTGTCTTGTCAAGCTGACTGATGTGCTTCAGTCAGCGTCAAAGTCAGGGAAAGGATGGGGAAGTGCAGGAGATGCACAGAGGATGCTGTAGGTCTCCAAGTGCCTGTGGAGAAGTCATGTTAAGAGTCCCCACAATGTGTCCTGTGCTGAGCCTTTGAGGGCAGTGGTGTAGAGAGCCAAGATGGGTATGTCTCTAAGGAGAGAGAAAACCAGCAGATATGGGACCAAAACCCTTCCCTTGACACTTACGTCTGGTCATGTCTTGCAGGTAAACAGGGACATTGTGTCGGGACTGAAATATGTGCAGCACACCTACCGGACAGGGGTGAAGGGTGAGTAAGAGCCCTTTGTGTCCTGCACACCAGTCCTCCTACCCCTGTGTTCCTTCTGCTCAAAGAAGTGTTCCTGAAGCTCTGGGCCAGTGCAGAGCTTCCTCTGGTCCCAAGCCCCTCCCCACGCCACCATGCAGGACTTGAGACCTCTCAGCAGAGTGCATTAGCCTGCACTCTGCATCACCCAGGCCAACTGTTTCCTGTTCCTGTGCAAACACAATATGAGCCAGCTCTGGTATCTGTATGCTACACCACTGTCTGCAGCAGCAACGTCCCCAGAGACACTGCTTAGACAGTGCTTGCCACAGATTTCCTCTCCAGCTCTTTACCTCCCCTCCACCCCCTGTGGAGTGGCTCAGCCTGGGTGAGCTCAACCCCTGAAAGCTCTTCCAGGTGCACTTGGTAAGATTAAGAGCTGCTCTACAAAGCTTCCTGCTGTGTGCAGAGCCCCGTGTTTGCCCGTGGCCTCTCCTCTTTGTGCAGTGCTGCCCTGCCAGGACAAGGCAGAGGAAAGCCCCGTTTTGCACACATGCGTCCCACATGTGCATTTTTGCATGCAACCACCTGTAAGGCTCCAGCATCCTGTTCAGCACATGTAAGTGTGTCTTCTCACCAGAAAAGAGGTGTAGCGGGGGATCAAGAGAGATCTTGAGCCACATGCTCTGTGTACCCACTCCCTTCCAGCAGCACATACATGTGAGGGGGTATAGGCAGTTGCCTGTCCATCTGCCCATTCATCCATTTATCCTTCCAGCTGTCCTTGTGCTTCACTAACCCACTTTTTCCACTGATTCTGTTCCCCTTGCTGACACGGACTGTCCCTTTCTCTCCACACTATCTCCTTTCTGTGTGCAATCTGCGCTCATGCTCATGGCTTCTTCTCTCCTTTATCATTCCCCACCTGAGAGGCTGATCCCTTGTGGATTGTTTTCTCCTAGTGGACAAAGCCACATTCATGGTTGGCAGCTATGGGCCACGGCCAGAGGAGTACGAGTTCCTGACGCCTATTGAGGAGGCTCCGAAGGGTATGCTGGCTCGAGGCACCTATCACAACAAGTCCTTCTTCACGGATGATGACAAGCATGACCATCTCACCTGGGAATGGAACCTGTCCATCAAGAAGGAATGGACAGAATGAGTTCACCCAGTTTGCCTTCCCCCTTCCCATCCCCTTGCCTCCTGCACCAGTCTCCAGGTGGGCCATGCCCACCACGCTGCTCCTTCCTGACATCGCGGCTGGCCACAGTCCTGGCAGCCCTTCCCATGGGCGCCGGGGCTCTGTGCCAGCTTTGGTCGATGCACAGGCCTGCAGGCGGCCTTTGCTGCTTCTTCTGATACACTGAAAATAACCTGCCTGTTCTCACCACCGCCCCATCATGATACATAATGGGTTAAATTGGGAAGCATCTCCCTCCCTCTCTCCCAGTACTTTGTCCTTCTGTCTCTTCTGTACCAACTCCGGTCCCAGAAGTGCCTTTTCTAGGAAACAAGATCACCTGGCAGGGCGGACTGGTCCCTGGAAAATTCCCTGAGTTACACTTGCCATGTGCTCTGACTCATTGTCAATGGTTACTTACCTCCCATGATGGTCTCCTGGTCTGTGTCTGGTGTCCTACCCCATTAAAATCCATCCTTGTGCAGGCAAAACCAGTCGGGGGAATGCAGCTAAATTCTGTAACAAGACTTAAGTGTCCCAAGAATAAAACCAGTTTCTTTCTTCTTTTCTGCATGTGTCACATTCTGTTCTGGAGTGTGTTTTTCAGTGAGGTGGATGTGGAGAATACAAAAGCTTAAGAGCATGTTTCAGAAGGGAAATAACCCTCTTCCTTCAAAACATCAGTCTAACTCTATAGGCAGATTATTTCAAAGCTACTTCCTTCAGGGATTTCATGAGCCCTCCTTTGAAGCCCAAAGTCTGTGAGTGATGGGGGTGGATTCCAGAGGTAGACAGTCTCTGCCTCTCCTCCTGGGTGGCAACTGAATGAGCCCAGGGAGCTATAACATGGCCTTCTTGTGTTTAATGCTTACAACGGCAGCTGTTCCCTATAGCCAGAGACAATTCAAGAGCTGCATGTCCCAGTGGCTGCCCCCCTGGCTGAGCACAAGGGACCATCAGCCTCTCTGGAACCCAGCACTGGGAGAAGTGCTGTGTCTTCTCCTGTATGAAGGGATGTTCTTACCCAGCTGGGACACCTGGTCACACAGGTGGAGGGTAGCTGTGATGTCCAGTGCTGTGGGTGAGGACATGCTGGTGGCAGCGTTGGTGAGGCTCTCCAAGGCTGGTGGCTGCACAGCAGGCAGGAGCTCTCTCCTGGCCAGGTGGTTATCTCAGAAGCTGAAGGCTTTGCCCTGGGCCAGCTGCTCCCTTCCCACTGTTCTGGGAGTGACTACAGGCCCCCTCAGCAGCTGACGTGTCTCTTGCCAAGAACAGGACTGGAACAGGGTGTCATAGTGAGGAGAAGGCAAGCTGGCACCATGGGCATCTCCGTCTTCCCGTGCCTCTTCATCATCCTTCTCATGGGGGGCTTCCCAGCAGGGTGTGCTGGAGATGGCAGCTCTGCGTCCCACAGTAAGTGAGCTTTCCTCCTGGCTCAGGGAAAAGGATGGGTCTGCCATGGGGAGTCCTCCTTATGCTGGGTCACCTTACCCAGAGCATGCCATGAAACCACATTGAGCTTGCAGGACAGGTGGGTGGGTGGACATGTGAGGGGTGGGATGGTTGTGTGTGTTGGAGGAGCCTTTTTGAGCTGCTCTTTGTGTACCCTCTGTCTAGCCCTGACCTCTCCTCTCCAGGCACAGCCAGCACCACAGAGAAACCTGTCCTGTTGAACAGCATCACGGATGCTGAAGCCTTCATCAGTGGTGCAGAGGTGGCGGTGATTGGATTCCTCCAGGTCTGTTCATAGCACCCCCCCCTCTGCTAACTGTGAGCCCTATCCCACCCTGGTGGGATCGTGGGGCTGGATGCAGTGTAAACACCTTTCAAAGGCAGCTCCTGTCCTGAAAGGTGCTGGGGCTGTAATAGGCGTGCAAAGGGATTAGGTGACAGGCCACAGGGAGAATGCCAGGAATTTGGTCTGTGTGCAGAAAGGAAGATGAAGCAAGGGAGGAAGGTAAAGGAGGTCATAGGAGCCCTGGAGTGGAAGAGAGGGAAATGCTGCAGGGGAAGCAAAATGGGAGTGTGGGTGGCAGAGAAATAGAGTTGGCAAGGGGTGAATGAAGACATCAGTTGTCTGCTTTACTGAGCAAAGACAGATCAAGGCACTGCCTGTGTGACAGGGCTGAGGAAGCTGGGTCTCCGGGAGCAGCACTGGTGTGGGTCCTCTGAAGTCTAAGAGGATTTGGGCTTAAGGTGCAGCCTTCTTCCAGGGAGGGTGTAGGCATGGTCTCTGTCTCAATGCTTTGTTCCTCAGGGTTGATGTGCTTGGGATCTCTGCTCTCTGTGCCTAAATTCAATTGAATTCAGCCAAAAGTATTAGAGAGACTGATGGGTGTGTGCACTTTGCCCCCAAAACGGCATGAATATTTTTCCTTAGGAAACAAGACAAAAATATTATTGAGTTAGAGCACCATAACACAGAGGCTTCTTTAACATGATCCTCATTATTTTTAAGGTCCCCAAGTCGCACCTTTTTCTTAATTTTCCTTGAGCTCTGCCCTGGGCTTCTGCTGCTCACACATACCTCATGGCTTCTGTCAGAGAAGATGTCATCCTTTCAAAAACAGCTCCTTTCTGCAAGCACCTTCCTCCTCCTGCCCTGTGCCCATGCCTGGAGGGTAGCCCAGGGAGGGCATCATGCCCTTCGTGTATGACAATGGCATCTCACAGCCAGCACAGGATGAGGATGGATGTTGCTGCCTATGCAGCACAGGCAGCAACAAGTGTGTGAGCGCTGGAGGCTTATGTCTCAGGGGCCTTGCTAAGCACTGATCACACAGCACCAGCCTCCTCGCCTTCAGTGCCTGCAGCCATTCAGAGCTCCTCCAGGGTTGCTCTTGCAGCGCTACAGTCCTGCAAACCAGCGAGGCAATCTGCACACGCAGAATGAAAGCGCTCAGATGCCTCCTCCCCCCCGCCAGGGTAGCTGTCTGGGCTTGAGGCAGGGCTGTACCTGGGGCACAAAGCCTCCTGACGAGCTACACGCGGGGACCGCGGCTTCATGCCAGGCGAATCAACACGGGAGCGTAACCACTGGTGTCTTGTGCCACTGCAGCCTCCCTGCCATGGCAGGATTTCATTCATGAGGGTCGACAGGAGGCTGTTCCCACACAGCAGGCAGGGTCCTGGGGCAGAGAGGGATGGCTGTGCCATCCTGCAGCGTGGGGAATGCCCCAGCTGCCAGGAGCACAATGCCTGAAGCACGACAGGGCTGCATTTAAACAGCAGATAAAGACATATGTGTGCTGTGAGGACTTGGCTTGGCCCTCCACCTGAGAGTATATTCATTCAAATAATGTCCATGTTCTGTGTTTGCTGTAAATTATTTCTCTGCTGCAGCCCTTCAATTTACTGCAGTACAGAGGTCGGCAAGCTCCCTGTATAATGAGTACAGCCTCCCTGACTGGGAACAGCATGCCATGATGGAAAAACAGTACATTGCTCCAGAAACCCTGCCTGTGTGCGAGAAAGGGCTGTGCTTGGCCTCATTAAACCCCAGCTTTCCCAAGAATGCTCCAAAACTCAGTGAGGTTATTCCCAGCCCAGGCTTTAGCGCTCTCACCAGAGCAATGTCAATGTGCTGACATTTCCAAAACAGGTCACGAGAGTTGTTTTTCTTTTGAATGTAAAAAGAATTCTGTTTTCCATTCTCTCTGGGCTTACAAACAGCTAAGCTGAAGGTTCAAACCAAAAAGACAAACCAATTTCCAAGCGTAGACTGTGTCTTGAGAATTTAAATCCAGTAAGTAGAAGTATCAAAGTACATTACTCAAAAGAAAAGTTGAGAATGGAAATAGCAAGAAAGGCTTTAATACAGGCTAAGGATATAGCTAATGCTCTTGCTGCAAGAAAGAGAATGGACCTCAAATTACTGAAGAAATTCCTACCCTTTGATGTATCTATCTGCCTTAGCTACTTTTTAAAGGATATGTTTAAGACACCTTTTTAAAAGTAATTGGGATACCACTAAAACAAGGTGTTCAAAAATTGTAAACCTCTGACTCTAGAATCATGGTCACCTTAAAAATTGTATTTTTTTATATATGTACACACATATACATACGTGCATGTGTATATGCATATATATTTGTGTATATGCATATATATGTATATATATTTAAGAGTGCTACATCGAGGTCCTGGGTTTCTCCCTCCCCTTGGAAGAGCTCTGGCCTTTCCCATCATCATCGTATTACCTGTAAGCGAGGGGGTAAGAAGTGAGTTGTCGGAGCAACGGAAGGTGAGATTCCCAGAGCGTTGCCGCTGCCAGCTACCTGCTCCTTTGAGCTTGACAGCACCCTCGGCATCGCCGCCTGGAGACTTCCCCAATTTTGGGACGAGAGTGTGTGTGTGGGGGGTGGATCTCAGGCAGGCAAGGTGACAACGGCAGAGACAAACGCTTAGCCCGGCCCTGCCCCCACCCTCCGGCCCTCTCCCCCTTCCTCCGCGGGGAGCGGGGCAGGGGTCTCAGGGGGGCTGTGCTGCCGGGCGG